TACCAATTTTCCCCAGAACAAGCCTGTGAAGTTGGGTAGGCTGAGAATAGCACTGGCCCAAAGTCAGCAGCTGATTTTAATACCACGTTAAGCTGATTTATCACAAAAAAATTGTTGCAGTGCTGATGTGCACAATTCATCCTACATTTTTAGAGATTGATACATTGATGCATTAATGCTCAACACAGAAAGTTTCTTGTTTGTATCAACAGTGCTTTCCTTTCTACTGTACCAGAATACTATCATAGTGGCATCACCCACCAATTTATGTGATAGATTGTCAATTGGAAATTATATTGGCTTTTATCTAACTTAATCTAGGTTTAAAGGATGATATTTGTTTTACAGCAGACTATTTATGTGCCTTTGTCTGAATATTCATATTTTTCTTTTATATTACATATTACTTTTGGAATGGGGTATTCTCAACTTGTAATAAATAAATAATTTCTTAATTGGAAACAGCAAGCACAATGAAAAATAAGCGTAATCATTTATACCCCAAATAGACATATATTAATTTAATATATCCAAACTAGATCAACTAGGGTTACATGTTAGTTAAGTAATTAACATTTTAAGGTACACTCCCCCCCACACACACACGGTGTACCAAAAGTCAGACATGATCTAAAGGTCAAGACATGATCTAAAGAAGACCTTTCTGTTAGAATTTGCAAACATCAGAGAAAATGGTCATGTGTCAAATGAGTAAGGAAATGTTTAGAAGAAAATTACAAGCAATTCAAACATTCAGTATAATTTTATATAATAAATTGTCTATGGGGCCTGATTTTGATTGGCACCAGGGAGACTCAGGTTCTAATCCACTTCAGTGTAGATCCTCAGTGGATAAATCTGGACCACTCACTCTTTCTAAGCTCCCAAAATTGTTGCTGTGGGGAAAAATAGGTGGGGGCACTTTATATCTCAATGTACACTCCTACATGAAAGGCAGGATAGAAATCTAATCAATAAATAAATTTGTTACAGATAGTAACAAAGTACATCATTTAACAATCTGGTAGCATTTTTTACATTTATCTTGATTACAAAAGAAAAGTGAAAAAGCCTCTAATTAAGTATATTAAGTACTCTTTCAATGCTTATGTCAAAATGCCATTTAAGAAACTATGAAGATTTAACTAAGCCTATTTAGCTGTCATTTTGGTCAAACTTACCAAATTGAAACTCAGTTCTCGTGCCAGCACTTCATCTGATAGTAACTGGACTGCTATCTTTTTCCCCCTTTCTTCTGTTAACCTTTGCTCTTCTTCCTCTTCTGCTAGTAGTCTTTGAATATATTCTTCACTTGCTTTGCTCTCTTCTTGCTCAAGAGCATGGCGTTCTGCTTCCACCTAACCACAAAATGTATCACTATTTTTAATAAGTTCTTTTATTTTATAGATTGAGAATTTTCATTTTTTATTTCAATACTTTTTAAGAAAGAGCTTTTATAGTTTGGCTTGGCTTAATGCATAGGCATTTAGTACCTACAAACAATCTCAATCCAGGTCTTACTCAGGATTTTATGATCCCTAGCAAAACTGCCTATTAGTGAGTATCATTCAACTTTCTACTTTACCTTAGTGATCTCAGCTTCATATTCTTGCCTTAATTCTCCAGGCTTACTTAAGCAGTGTATTGGTTGAGGGATATACACTAGTCCAGAAAACAAAGCAGAGATGAAACAAAATATGATTATTATGATCTAATTATTTTAAGGATGCAAATTGCAATTTAATATGAATATATATGAAACCATGCACTTAAATACAATCTTTTCTATCAACCTGGGTTCTTTGCAATTTAGTATACCTAATATATCAAAAAATAAAAATAAAAATTAAGCCTCACTGGACATTTATCCAGGAAAAGCAAAAGATTTGACCTTTAACAATGGTGACTTATATTTGTGTTACTGAATTATTACAGTTTAACAAATAACTCAACAAATCTAACAACCTATATTGCATAGTCTATTTGCCTGTACTCCACAAAGAAGAGTAATCTCTGACCTTAGAAATGTGTCACTCTCTTATCAGTTAAATATATTTTTAGTTAAAAGAGACCACTAAGTGAATTGCTAAATATCAATTTTTCCTTGCTTTTTTTTTCTTTCAAAATTTTACATTAAACTTCTGAACACCAAAGGCAGGTGTATATGTAAACCAAACTAGTGCAATGCTTTACTTACAATAATTTTCTAGGTCCTGTCCATTAATTCTGCGTTGGCACTCTTCTGGAAAATGTTTCTTAATTTTTTCCCATAACTCCAAGTTGATAAGAGTGTTATTGCGAGAGTTATATCGTGCCCAAGATGAGACACGCCGGCGACAAAAAGGGCAACACAAACTTGCTTTTTCCACAGTAAGTTGGAAACAAGCATTACAAAGAGTATGGTGGCATGGTAATGTGACTGGTTCCACAAAAATATCCATGCATATGTTACAATGGCAGTCAGACAAGGAGAGCGGGGGCTCTGATTCTTTTGGCATGTTCAGTCCAGGAAGGGAAAATGATTCTCTTAATACATCACCAGCATCTACAAAAATACAGCAGCACATTATCTGTTTCAGATCAATAAAAATTATGTTTGTTAGATCATTTTTCACACGATCTATGAATGTTACCTGATACCTAAACTTTATCACTAAGAGTATAGTACAATACTGTTCTACAGTAAAAACATAAAAACAAATATATGAATTATGAGTAAGGAATGTCCTCACAGATTACATCATTATTCGGCAGTACTAAAGTAGGCCAATACATTGTTTCCCAATGCAAACATACTTTTTATTCTCCTGAGGTATTTCTGGATAGATACTTAAAACTACAGATATAAGATACTGCTTCACAATTATGTAACATAGAAATTCAATTTCATCAACTACTTTTTTTTTTAGAAAAAGTTACCCAATTATTTCCATATAGCCTATTTAAAAACAGTTTTTCATTGGAGAGAATACTGTATCTAAATTGAACTAAAGTCATGTGATGCTAACTGAAAATATTGTTTTCAGAATATTATTTGGGTGGAGCTAAATTTCTAGACACAAATTGTGATTCATGACCATAATTCTCATACATTCTGTTTGCCCCTAATTTGAAGCTCATGTTGTAGGCTCACACTGATTTCCTTCCCAGTTTGGCACTTCCTTAAGAGGTACAAGGGCAGATAAACATGATGGCATGCAGAAGAACATTTAGACTAAAAGCCTCATTGTGGAACGGCAGAAAAAAGAGTAGACTTAGTGTTTCATATCCTAATTCCTTCTTTCTTCTCAGAGCAAAAAACTGGGAAAGCTCTCCAGCTGGCCCATCCCCAACTGAAGGCTCACTTCAGAGGCACCATGTTGTGCACCACTGTTACTTGTGCCTCTCTTGTCACTGGAACATTAAGCATGGATTGCAACCACCACTACTGACAAGGTCAATATGGGAGGATTTTTTAAAAATATCCTGGACTCAATATTTATTGCATAGTTTTGAAATGAACTTCAAATTAAGTAAAAAGCCAGATCAGGTGGAAAGATCGGCCTAAGTTGATCTCAGTTTCAAGTGCATCAACAACTGTTTCCACATACGAGCAAGAGTTTTGTAAGCACCGATGGAAACCTCTATAGATTCCCACAATGGATGAATGGATGGCAAAGTTAATGGACTTGGTTGAGATGGCAAAAATAACTACTTTGGTCAAAGACTTAGTTTTCTTTCTACATAGACTTTTTGCTTGAAACTGAAAGATCTGACATTTTATTTTTGGGATTTGTTGATCAGAATTGTTTATAATTATACAAATACTATGTTACTTCCAGGAAGACATCTAAGCTGGTCCTTCAGATGTAATATAACCTCATTACAATCAATCTCAGAGAATCTAAGCATAGCCCAAAGCCATTTCAATAATTTCAGACAAGAAATAGGGCTGCAAGACTGGCCCTTTGTAGACACATTCCTAATTTCTCAGTCATCTACCTACCAAGTATGCACACTTGAAAGTAATATTGCTGTTGCATGTACAATAAAGGTGAATATTTGGCAGCATGCTACATCAGATAGAAACTCATAGATTTATGCCACAAAATGTTATATGTCATATAAGTAATATTCTAGATCGACACAACCAGGTCTTAGGTATCAATAAATAAATAAATTCCATCTGCTATTCAAGGATTAGACATATTTCACATGGGAAACAAATGAAGTACCTGATACTGCAGCCCACCCTCTCTGCTGAAATAACTAATGGAAGGATTTTAAAAGATGTTATACACAAAATGGAAATGTTCTAGCACTTACATTGTGCTTTCTAGTGTTCACTTCACAAACATTATCTACATAATCTGTTGCACAGCTTTGTAAAACAGGCCAATATTGCTTCCCCCAATTATAAATAAACTGAGAAGTTTTGTCATATTGACTGCCATGTCTGCCAGTGAGTCCTGGAAATCTAAAATTATTCCTAAGATCAACATCTTCCAACAACATTGTCTCAGAAAGATTCTTGAGCCAATACTTGTAAAATGTTAAAATTAGTTCTTAGATTAAACCAGTATATATTCACTTGAAAGCACATAAACTAGCAACAATTCCAAATGCCTGTTTCTCAATGAGCAGCAAGCAATTGTTAGGAATTCCAATGGCATCAGCTTCATTTCTGCAGTTCTCAACTAAAACAATTTTTCAATGCTTCAATGCTTCTAGGGGTGTGATAGCTCAGCAGTTAAAGACACTGAACTTGTCAGCTGAAAAGCTGACAGTCCAGGTTTAAGAACCAAGAACCAAGCAACAGGAGAAGCTGCTGTTATTTGGCCCAACTTCTGCCAACCTAGCAGTATGAAAGCATGCAAGGAAAGGTACCACTTCAGTGGGAAGGTAACAGCGTCCTCTGTATTGCAGGCTAACTCTGCCCACAGCCTGGAGTTTGATCCTGACTGCCTCAAGGTTGACTCAGCTTTCCAAGGTTGGTAAAATGAGGACCCAGGATGCTGATGTTGTAAACCGTAAAGCTCTATGGGTGGTATATAAGTCTAAGTGCTATTGTTATTCGGAAAATAGCTCCCTCAGCTATGAAACAGAGATGAGCACCGGTCCCTAGAGTTGGACACGACTAGAAAGAGAAACTTTTCCCTTTACCTTTAGACTGGATGTGAGAGCCATTTGTTTATAACAGTGTATGCAGGTACTATGCAGTTGCATATTGTTTAATAGAGTAAATGAGGGAGGAAAATGTCTATAGCAGCGGTTCTCAACCTATGGGTCGCGACCCCATTTGGGGTCGATCGACCATTTCACGGGGGTCGCCAAGCAAGGCTGTCTGCCATTTTTTCCCCCTTTTCCGGCGGGTGCCTTACCTCCCTTGGGCTGGGCCAGCTGGTGGTCGGCCTGCTCCATCTCTGCCGCTTGCCAGCTATGCCTCGGCCGGCACAGGGGGCAGAACCACGCATGCGCGGCGCTCCCAGGCAGGGAAAGTCCTTGACTTACGACCAGTTGGGTAGTCCTCAACTTACGACCGGTTTAGTCCTCGACTTATGACCGGTTGGGGGGGGGTTCGTGGCATTAAAAAGGTTGAGAACCACTGGTCTATAGAAATCAAATAATGCAAAAGAAATTAGATAAGATACCAATTCCACATAGAAGTGCAAATACTGGGCAAGTGGAATATTGGAATGTTATTATACAAACTGCAGATGAACGATCAACTGTAATGACATTGAAGGTCTTCCAACACTGGCATTTGTGAAAGGGGAAGAGTACATAAAATTATGTCAAACACAAATTAGCAGGGGAAAAAAGGAAATTTATATAGGATACCATTCCATATAATTAAGCTTTTGATTTGTACTCCACGAGCAAGTCCATAAAAATAGTCTTGTTTTAATAAGATATCGATTGATTTAACATTCTAGGCCTTGATTTGAAGCCTTCCCCCAAAAAACGCCTCAATAAAATTTGTTTCCTGTAAAGACTCTGTGAAACTGAAGCAAAATATACTATCCCCTTATTTGAGGATAGTGAGAAACTACCCAACCGCTTCCACGCAGTTCAAATTGTTAGCGATTTCCCCCATTCACTTTGCTTGTTGGAATCCCGTTTCCGTATAATTCCTTCTAAGCATTACCTCCTCGAAATTTTGTCTTTTTTGGTTCGCTCCATTATATTTCTTTTTCGGTGCCAACTTGGCTTGTTCTCCCACATCCGCGCCGCCTTACCGGAGCCCCTTCCCTTTTATTTCCCGCCAAGACACTGTTTCGGAGCTCGCGCCACCTGCCCCTTCCCCCCCATTTAGCTGCACCGGACTGAAACCACTTACACCTATTCCGTATTTTCGCGCGCCTCCCCCGTTCAATATTTCAACTCTGAGGCGGCAGCAGAGTCCCCGGGCGCCGCCATCTTGCCGCTTCTATCCTAGCACCGAACAACATTCGCCACCTGCTGGTCCCACTGCGCAAACGCAGATTTACCACGCCCCAATTTTCTTGCGCGCTTTCCATTTCAACTTCTAGCGCAGGGGTAGGCAAGCTTGGCTCTTTTATGACTCGTGGACTTCAACTCCCAGGATTCCTGAGCCAGCATAGCTGGCTCAGGAATGCTGGGAGTTGAAGTCCACGAGTCATAAAAGAGCCAAGCTTGCCTACCCCTGTTTAATGAAGAGCGTGACGTAAAGAAGGAAAAGGCTGTCGTCCTTCTCGAAATGGTATCGGAGACCTCAACTGCTGTCCTCTGGTGGCCGGAGGATTTCTTTTCTAGCGCTTGACTTCTCTCAAGACAGCTCTGAAAATTTTTTGCAAAGTTCTTCCCTTTGTCCCAAAGGGAATTCCGCCTAATATTATGAGGTAGTCGCTACAAATGTAATAACCCTAAACCCAAAGAAACCTAAGTTGGCGTCTGGGTCCTTCCACCTGCGTCATTCCTTTTGATGGCGAGACGTGAAGAACTCAGTGCAAATACGAGCAAAACTCAAAAAACTCATACGAGAAGCTACATGGACTTCTACTAATGTGGAAAAGGGCTTTAAAAACTTTAAAAAGGGCTGCCTATCCTGAGCAACACAGGAAAACGATAACTGAATTGGAAACAAACAACTGGACCAAGAACTGCTACAAAAGCAGGAGGAAATAAGAACTACTATTAGTATAAAAGTTTCTGGCCAATGAATGAGCTGCCTGAGAGCATTTAACTCCTCCAATCTATGGGAGAGAACCAAAGCACTTAACTACTTCAGATTAAATACTTGACATATACTCCATCGATTGCATCTTCTAGACCAGGGGTAGGCAACCTTGGCTCTTTTATGACTCGTGGACTTCAACTCCCAGAATTCCTGAGCCAGCATGGCTGGCTCAGGAATTCTGGGAGTTGAAGTCCACGAGTCATAAAAGAGCCAAGGTTGCCTACCCCTGTTCTAGACTGTTTAAGATTCATGTGTTTTGACTTATGAATTTCCATACTGTAAGAATCTCTGGAAGCTCCTTTTGCCTTGTAAAATGATCGTCTCCACATCCTGAAATTACCATTGGCAGCACTTTTTGATAACAATTGTGACTTCAAGTTTTTCAAAAATGTCAGTTCCTTCTGAGTAAAAATGTGATTTCATGCTGAGAGCATTATAGGTAAATTCAGACTCTGGCTTTTATCCATAACTATATTCATTCTAAGAATTAAAAATACACAGGCACAAGCCATGATGTATGCACGTGTTTCAAATATGATTTTAGTTTTAAAATGATGACCCAGAAATTCCACACAAATTGACCAAAAACCAGAGATATACCCAAATATTAGCTTGAAAATCAACCCGAGCACCTAATGACAATCCATTTTTCTAAACATCTGGATAATCCTCCATTGTTTGATTGACAGCAATTCTACATTGTTTAAATTAGAGTGGATGCAGTTCAGAACATTCCCATCTTTTACAAATGGTTTTGTCTGGTGTTTGCTAGAGGGCCTCTCATTCTCACTGTGGGAATCTCTATGAGTTGATTTCTTTCTTTCTGGCTCTTGAAAGCCTTTAATAGTTTGCAGTGTTTCCTAACAGCTGGGGATTTTCCTACTGCCTTAGATGTTGTAGGGCACAAATGATGTGATTTAGTGTTTTCTGTTCTCAGTCCAGTGCCTTTTGAATTTACAAAGCCTATCTTCTTCCTGTTTATATCATTCATAAAGCTGCTCCTCCAAATATATTTGCTTTTGTATATTGTTCATCTCTTCCTCTTCTGTTTATACAAAAATTCTTTTTTTGTCATTTGAATATGAATCCACTGTCAATGCAGTGAGAGATTCTTGAGATTTTCTCTTTGGAATCTCTTTCGTGATCAGAGAGCAATTCTGTTTTTATTTCCAATTGGATAATTTCTCATCACTTTTGGGACACACTCCTAATTTCTCAGTCATCTACCTACCATGTATGGACATTTGAAAGTGATATTGCAGTTGTATGTACAATAAAGGTGAATATTTGGCAGCATGCTACATCAAACTCATAGATTTGTGCCAGAAAATGTTATATTGAAGGGTTCTGTAACTGCAACAAAAAGAAATTGTTTAGCCTAACTATTGCTATCTCGCTTCTGTAATCAGCATTTGCGTCTGGGACAAATTTCATGCAAGCGTGGGAAACGTACATGGATGGGATGTACTGAAGGAGGGAATAAGGGAATATACAGGAATGACTGATGTCTTCCTTATGATGTAACGGCTCTGTTGTCTGATTTTCATTGGCTAACATAGTTTATAAAGCAATGCTACTAATTTTCTAAGATGTGGCACTTCTGGACATAACTCTGCCAGCGTTCCAGATTGTTTGCCACCCAGCTATTTTATTTGATCAATTAAAGCATTTGAGTTGCCTGATTAGACTTTTAATGGTATCTCAAATTTAAGTTAAGGGCCAGGGACCTTACAATATGTTATATATTATAAGTAATATCCACACAACTAGGTCTTAGGTATCAATAAATAAAGAAATATATATATAAATTCCATCTGCTATTCAAGGATTAGACATATTTCACATGGGAAACAACAAAATGAAATACCTGATAACAGCAGCCCACCCCCTCTGCTGAAATAACTAATGGAAAGATTTAAAAAGATGTTATACACAAAATGGAAATGTCTAGCACTTATATTGTGCTTTCTAGTGTTCACTTTACAAACATTATCTATGTAATCTGTTCCACAGCTTTGTAAAGCAGGCCAATATTGCTTCCCCCAATTATACATAAACTGAGAAGTCTTGGATCAATCAATTCAATCAATTAATTCAATCAATTTGAATTAAATATTTTCCCTTATTGGAGAACGTGTCATATATTTCTGGAGGAAAAGTATTGTTTCAGAATATATTTGCGGTTTACATATATCTTGAAACTTTCTTGTTTTCCACTATATTAATAGCACATAATAGACTATGATGAAGGACTTGATTATTCACCACTTTGTTTACAATAGATTGGATGTCTTGGGTATAATCTTGCCTTAGTTTATCAGGGAAATAGTTTGCATCCTGGCTATAGGTAATGAAAAATGTACAGAAAACTTTAACATCTTCTTCCTGGAGTCCCAATATCTCCAGTGCCGATTCCCATGCTGATTTAATTCTTTTGTTTTTATCTTTCCTCCTCAGAACAGATGATAGTGTAGGCAATACTCTGGCAAGATCAGGTATGCTTTCTACCACTTGAGAATGTAGGCACTGAATAGTTTCACAGATATAGCTATAGAAGAGGTTTATCTCCACAGAATTAAACCTGCAAAAAGATGTTTAAAAAAAACAATTTACCTTTACGGTTTATATCAACAGGTCCACAAATTATTTCCATTTGAGAAGCAGCCATGTTGCAAAATTCTATTTGTCTTCATTTTAAAGTAAACACCATTAATTTAGATGAAAATTATTTCCAGATGTATCCTTAGGGTTGCAGGCTAAAACTGTAATATTTATATTTAATAAGTGCATGGTCCATCAAAATGGAATCCAACCACACATCTACAGTTCTATTAATTCAATACAATTCCCAATATTTTATTTTGGGTAAGAAACAGGAAGCTTACCCTGGCCACCTCCTACAAAGAAAATCTCTACAATTCCCAATATTTTATTTCAATGTCCAAATAAAATTTAAAGCAATGTTTATTTAGAAATGCATGTAAAATTAAATTTTCTTTTCAAGATTTGGATAATGCTCCATAACTGACCTGTTTGGAATAAACATTTCATAATGGAAACAAAATCTGCTGTTTTTGAGCCATTCTGTTAAGTCTTAAAGCTAGCATTACTCACACTCTTATGTATTCTAGATGTTTTACATTACAACTCTGAAGTCCCAGATGCTGACTATGTTTCCAAGAGACTTTGAAGTTATAGTCCAGCATATTGGAAGGGAACAAAGTTGGGGAAAGCTATTAAAATAATCATCTAATCATTTGTTAACAGTCTATCAAACTTATCAAGCTATTGTTACATTTTTATTAACCCAAAAGAACACTTGTGATACCATTACCAGACAACCATTATATTACTCCCAAAGTTTTTATAACCTATATTTTTATTTTTCTTACCTGTCTTCTAGCAGTGATGTCCACATCACATCTTGCTCTAGAACCGTATTCCAAAAGTCAAACTTCTCTGATAATTTCTGAATGCCAGAATCTAATACAATATTTTGTGACTTTATAGTTTGCAGCTTGTTCTCAATTCTAGTAAGATTCAAAAGCCAAAGAAAATTAGAATCAAGACCCTCCCATTCTAAAGAATGTTTTCCAGTTTGACTAAAGAGCTCTTATATAATAGATGATTTATACTTGATAGACTGGTATATCAGTTTGGAACTTAGATTCTTTAGCTTCTATCCATATGGTCTACATGATATTGTCATAATGCTGTAGTTTACTTGCAATCTTTTCCCCATGTAGAACAGTTTATTCTACTTCACTGTATCTTTTGGAAATGTTTTTTTTTTAAAATATACAAATAATAAAGAGAATTTTTTGAAAATTGCAGCAATGTTTGGCAAGGTCAATTTCTTTTCAGATTTATGTAGTAAAATGATCTCTTGATACATTTATTTTCCTAAAATATAGTAAATAAAATTTAATCTATATTGATTGACCAGCTGTATAAACATATAGTTTATAACTAAATCACAAGTAAGTCCATTCTTTTTCTCCAGTGTTCATTATAGAAATAATTATCTTACTCTATGGAATTGCCACAATGTACCAACAGATTACACAATCACAAATGCACAATCATTTCAGTTATTTATAATGTTCCATGTTTAACATTGCAGTTCCAAAATGCTAAATTACTGAGCAGCTGGCTATTTTTAAAAATCCTCCTTCAGCGTAAAGATGAAACAAGTGAAATGCTGCCAATTCTGTAGCTAACTAGTTTATATTTTTAATTATTTTGGTATTTCTGAAAAAAATAAAACAATGCATAATTATAGAAAGATTCAATTTCTATTTTAAAGTAGGCATTTTCCATTATCCATCCTGGCCTTTGATCCTTTGTAAGTCACCACTTCTTTCATAAGAATGATTTCAAGTACAGCATTATTACATTTCTTTTATCTGAGACGTTATGTAGATTTACAAAGCAAAACAGGTCAGGAAAAAATATTCAAAAGAAATATTTAACATATGAAATATGCCATTCCAAGACCCTTCCCAAAACAAACCTTCCCAGCAAAAGTCAACTTGTGACCTGTTTAATGTCTTGTTCAGGACACACAGAGATAAAGACTCTTTGGCCATCTTCAGGAATAAGAGATGTATGTTTCAAATGTCTCTTGACTTCTGTTCCATAACAGACAGCAGTGATATACCTAGTAATCCAACTGGTGCTGAAGGTCAGTTTTCCCTTAAAGCTTTTTATAGCTAGGAAATCCAAATATAGAATATTAACACATACTCGCAAGCACATTGTTTATTAAACTACAGCATGGTAATTACAGTATAGTTTCCCCTTCTTAGTTTCATGCAAACATACATTAAGTCTACAAACATCATATGGATCCATAAAAGGAAATCATAATTTAATGCTATGAACTGGCTCCTAAGTACATGTCACATGCAGGATTGTTGTAACTAACTATTAATTTTAGATTCATATCAATCTATAATATAGTAACTTTATGTGTTAAATTTCTTTGAAACTTTTGGCAGTGCAGAAGTTGCTGAATTCCAAACCCCAGCAATACTCACTTAGTGTCATGCTAGCTGGGATCTCTGGGGAATAGTTCAGCAATAATTGGAGTCCAGGGTTCTTATTGTAACCAAAATCTTTTGTCTTTTTGTATTAAGATGTTCTCAGTGGTGCTAAATATAAGCTCTTCTCATTAGGCTATTTCAGTGGTTCTCAACCTTTTTAATGCCGCGACCCCCAACCGGTCGTAAGTCGAGGACTAAACCGGTCGTAAGTCGAGGACTAAACCGGTCATAAGTCGAGGACTACCCAACCAGTCGTAAGTCGAGGACTTTCCCTGCCCGGGAGCGCCGTGCATGCGTGGTTCCGCCCCCTGCGCCGGCCGAGGCGTAGCTGGCAAGCGGCAGAGACGGAGCAGGCTGACCACCAGCTGGCCCAGCTCAAGGGAGGTAAGGCACCTGCCGGAAAAGGGGGAAAAAATGGCAGACAGCCTTGCTTGGCGACCCCCGTGAAATGGTCGATCGACCCCAAATGGGGTTGCGACCCATAGGTTGAGAACCGCTGGGCTATTTTGTGATATTGTATTCAGATCTAATGTTTACAGGGCTGAGGAATTCTGGGAGTTGAAGTCCACAAGTCATAAAAGGGCCAAGTTTGAAGACCCCTGCTCTATATCCATGCAAAACATGTTTTAGTAGGAGGTGGAAAAACAGCACATTACAAAAATAATAAATTATAAATGGAGGCATCTTTGATATTTGGTATTCTACCTTTTATTTCTAATGTTGTATTGTATTGACTGATTTCATTAGTTGCCTGCTTCAAATAATACAAATGTTTACTTGTTGATAGAGGAATCAGAAACCAAACTAGTTTTCCAGAACAGAATCCTACCCCTACACTGCATTAAAAAATTTGCTAAGGTTTCCATTAGAATAGATTTTCAAAAGTTTTTTTCATTATGTATTTTTGCTTTTTTTATTATTTGTTCACTTATTTTCAGTTTGCATAGATGACTTTAATTCTCAGCATTGTATATGTCCTAAGCATTTATGGGCAGGGGAAACAATCATTCCTTAGAGGCAGGAAATGTTTAAAATAAAACAACTAAAGTCTTCCTCATAATTATTATGTGATGGCTAATATTTATTTTCACATAACTATTTAAAGGACATGCTAGTTTTCAGGGCCATGTCCTTCCAAAATAATTTACAAAAGATTAATTTCACATTTATGCAGGTGTGTATACACTCAGCAAGATATTCAGACTGCATTTGGCATTTTAATCCACCTATCAAATCCTTCCCAAGGACCTGGGATAGGCAGATGTGGATGTTTTATGCTGTTAGAGGTATCATCACAGAATGTAAGCTATTCCAAGTAAAGCTGCTTTTTTTAATTGACTGATGGTGAAGTTGTCAATACCAATGGTGTTCAAGTGGTGCTCCAGTTGTTTTGGGATTGCACCAAAGACATCTATTACTATTTGTGTAATTGAACTCTTTTAACTGAAATATAGTTTTCTATTTTATAAATTATTTAAGAAAAAACACTTCATTTGCATTGTTTTTCTTCAAACAATAACAACTTCCCCTATATACCAGAGATATAAAGTTGAGCATTAACGATCTTGAATAGACCTGATGTCAGCCATTAGTATAACAAAGCAAATGTCAGATCCCATATACTGGACTTTTTGATAAAACAACTTGTCAACATTTAAAAGAGCTTTATTAGAAGCTTTATTCTGGACTGAACAATCCATGATTGTCTGAATTTGCTGCTGATCCTCCAAGACACTAATAGGAGATATTTGCAGAACGTGTTCAGGTTCTTCAAGCCATTTATCAACTCAGTTTTACTTCTTAACCATAAGAAAAGCAGAGAAGAGCAAAAAGATTATTAGGAACCTGGAGGGTAAAACATATGAAAAAGGTTGCAGGAATTGGGTATAGCTGGTCTAGTGGAAAGGACTAGGGTGACATGATAGCAGTGTCCCAATATTTGAGAGGCTGCCACAAAGAAGAGGGAGTCAACCTATTTTCCAAAGCACCAGAAGGCAAAACAAGAAACAATGGATGGAAACTACCGTAATCAAGGAGAGAAGCATAAGGAGAAATTTCCTATCAGTGAGAACAATTAACCAGTGGGATGGTTTTCCTTCAGAAGTTGTGGGTGTTTCATCATAGGAGGCTTTTAAGAAGAGACTGGACAGCAACTTGTTTGAAATGATATAGGGTTTTCTGCTTGAGCAGGGATTGGACTACAAGACCTCCAAGGCAGTAGTGGGATTCAGCCAGTTTGCACCACTTCGGCAGAATCGCTAGTTAATTTTTGTTGCCCAGGCCCAGAATGGACTTCCGGAAGTGGCATCCACACAGAGAACCGGTTGTTCACATATTTGAATCCCACCACTGCTCCAAGGTCCCTTCCAAGTCTGTTATTTTAAAATTTTATTTCTGCCAGTAGAATTTATAAGAACATATATTAAAACAGACAAGTCTCTATTTTTCTTTTCTTTTAAAACCCAGTTCTTTATTCACATATACATTTTTATTGCAAGCTTACCAGTAAGATCACATCAATTAGTTATTCCAAAAGTGGTACTATATATGAACTACCAAAATAATTTTTAATAGTACACAGAATTGGCTTATTTATGGGAGGTAGTAGGAATAATCCACCAGAAAATTAGTAGATCCAAAATACTGTACCAGAGATTGATTGCCTACTTAAAGATACAAAGAGTTCAAGAAATAGGATACATGGATATATCGCTACTTTGGTCAGCAACCAATATTCTCTTAGAACCGTTAATTGACACATATGAAATCCAGTTCACTTTCTCTCCATGTTCAATGGTCAATTTGGGTGAAATGGGTAGGCATTCATTTGTCTGCTCTGGGTTCATTTTGTCAACTTTCTTGATGGCATTTTTCTTTTTGTGAATTGCCTTGTTTGGACTTTTCAATTTTCCAATTTCATTGCTAACATCCCACAACAATATTCTGCCATCATTTCCCCCTGTAATAAAGCAATACATTTCTGGCAGAAAGAAAATCTGTGACACTCCTAATGAGTGACCTTTAAACGCTATTTCCTGTTCAAACTTGGGACCTGTTACTCGAAAGATTCTGATGTTACCATCTTCAGCTCCACAGCCAAAGACATTGCCACAAGTAGAAACAGACAATGAATGAATCAATGGTGGGTTAAAGAGTTGGCCAATCCCTTGCTCAACTGCTTCTTCTTCTTGCAAGTTCATAATCCATTGTGGGCGAGTTTTTTGCAAGTTCCACATTATAATCTGTAAACAAAACAACAAAAAAAGATTTCTTAATATAGAAGTCATATAAATGTAAATTTTCACTGTCATGTTCCCCAGAATACGAAAGTGATACAGCTCACATAAATTATGCTTTAGTTTACAGATAAAAGGCACCTGTTGACTTAAATTATATCTAATATAAAATTACTCTTATTTCATTATTTTTTAAATTTATAAAGTGCTTCAATTTTCAGGGACTCTTAATTTTTTTTAAAAAATGTTAATATTAGTTTCATACCAAAATATCTTTTTACTGTATTTACTACAAGTATTATATCTATATACCAAATTGATCAAGCTATATTTTGTGGAAATTATAGATTTCCAGCAGTGGTTAAACATGAAAATGTTTAAAGCCCATGGGACAGAGACTTGTAGGTAGGTACTGCTTTTCAATGGCACCATATATGTTATAGAATAGACTCTACCAGAAATTAGGTTGGCCTCTATAGTTTTGTTTTGGAAAATTTATTTTAGAGGCCTTAGGGTAATTGGAAGATTTCTTGGTAGTATAATTTTTGGTTGTATAGCAAGGGTCTTCAAACTTGGCCCTTTTATGACTTGTGGACTTCAGCTCACAGAAAAGGGCCAAGTTTGAAGACCCCTGTTGTATACTCTTAATTGTAATCACTAATTGAGAAGGGTGCAATTATAATAAATAAAAATTAAATTGCTTTTCTGTAGAACTCAGTCCTGTATATTATTTAGAAAGCCAAATATGTAAAAACTATTTTTATTAGAAGTACAAGTATTATGGTGTAAAATAAATATTAACTACATATTTTTTATATCAACTTTATTACAGATAGTTCTTGATAAGATCTAATCTAAATATAATACTGAGTTGATTTTTATTCATTCATTCATTTGGAGTTTTTCATTCTCTGCATTCTGCAGAAACCTATATCTGTTCCAAAGGATAAAGCAAAAAGTAATCTCATCTGGCAACAATGTCTGTTTTGTTGGCAGTAATGTATCATTGTGTATAAATCCTTTTCTTTCCTTATCTCCTATCCTTAATCGATTATCTATCTTCTGCATCAATCAAAGTAATGTTTCAGTTGGGAAACAATGCTGGTATCTCACTTACTACTTCAGCCTTAGCTTTAATTGTGCAGCTGATGTTGAGATTCTGAGCAAGTTAATTTTCAGAAAGCATTTTTTAAATCTGGTTCAGCTGGCCTATTCTGTACTTCTATAGAAAAACAATCCATTTTTGAACAATTATAGCAATTGACAAGATGGCAAAAGTATTTCTAGGACCAAGGGAACAGATTACAATGCTAGGAAGAATAATAGTAATCACCTTCTGTTGTGACCTTTCCCCATTTGCTTTATAGTGCATAAAATACTTCCCCTGATGGAATAACAAAAAATTCCACATATCTATTCTATATTATCTGAGAGTCTGAGGAATTCTGGGAGTTGAAGTCCACAAGTCATAAAAGGGACGAGTTTGAAGACCCCTGGTTTACACCTATCAAATAAGTGATGTTAGTAAGCTTTCATCTACTGCTGATTACCTTCATATCCAGGCCACATGAAAGAAGGCTTTGTGGCCTCTGGGGTCGAAATGCAGTAGATGCACAAATATTTGAATGTCGTTGCAGGCAGCGACTCAACTTCTTGCTTTGTAAGTCAATTATCTTTATGGCTCCAGAATCATCTGCAGCAGCCAAGAAGCTGTCTGTTTCATTTACTGAAAGACAATTGATCTCTTCCTCATTTACATGGAAACATTCAACTGGCTCCTTGAGACACCTGGTATCCAGCACGCTAATACTTTCCCCATGAGAAGCATAGAGTCTTCTAGAACAAGTGGGAGAAAATATAACGCTAGTGACATCATCTGCTTTTTGAAGCCGTACACATTCCAATGGATTTCCTTCAGCATTCCAAATTGTGAGCTCCCCTCCTTCTGCTCCTGAAGCCAATAGACCGTCTTTGCTCACATTTAGGCTTAGTACTGAAGAAGAATGTCCATTGGTCCACTTCTTTGCCATCATATCTCAAGACAGACTGGAAAAAAAATTGATCAGAGTAATATTTTGTTTTGATATACATTGAAGAATCAAAAAGTGATTGTATTGTGTTATTTTTAGATTAACGTATTCAAGTTAGCAGGACTGGCCTAAGGGTTATTTTAATTTGGTTTTAAAATAATTAAAAAAAATTTTTTTTCCGAATTTTCGGCCTTAGAATAATATTTCATTTTAATTAACATGTTAAATTTGGTATTTTTGTATTCATGTATTTGTTTTTAAATGGTTGTAAGCCGCCCTGAGTCCGCAGGGAGAAGGGCGGGGTAGAAATATAATTAAAGAAAGAAACGTATTCAAGTAAAGCACGTATTGATAATGTAGTAAAATGGACAATTATTAGAATAATGATTTGTCTGCATAACTGCAATAATGATGTGTCTCTTGTTGTGTTTTCAAAACACTGATTTAAACACTTAAACATCTAAATTCCAGTATATTGACTCTCAAATATAATGGCCTTACAATCACAATCAATCGATTTGGGACACTAATATTTTCCAATGTAAACTTAATACTTAGGCACAATGAATACGGTAGTGTGTATAAACACAATGCCTGTTTGAGATAGGCCGTTGCGGTATAAGGTTCAAATAAGTGTATAACAAATCAGCCACCTTAACCCAGCCACCACTTTCCTACTTCACTCGATACTTGCATTACCTGAAAGCAAAGAACCAATTTCTCCCGAGACCAAACTCTCTTCCGGCAAAGAAAAACTGCTGGGTCTGTTTAGTAGTCCCCCTTGACAGGTGAAGTTTTTGCGCATGCGTTTAGGACAGCATCCTTTTTCTCATGCTCGGCAATGCCCTCAACCAAAATGGCCGGCTCACGTTCCAGGCCCTGCTCCTTACCGCATGACATTAAAATAAAATAAATAAAAGATGTGTTGTCCAAGAAGCCAGCTTCAACACAAGGTCCCAGATTGTTCTTGCCTCTGCCGTACTCGAAAATCTAAAATCAGGAGCAGTTACTTCCCGACGCCTCCGTATAACAAGATCTCTCAAACAAACGCGTTCATTTCCGCCTCTCCTTGCCGGCAACGGGCGAGGAGTTCGTTGGCAGGGTAGCACCTCCTACTTTTGCAGCCGACGGCGCGCGCCGGATTGGCTCTCTGGTTAGCGGATAGGCTCGCGGTTTCTAGCCGCCTTCGCCTGGGCCGGGCCGGTCGGTTTGGAAGGCGTGCGCGCGCAGGCAGAACGCGAAGGCCGGTGGTCAATCGCCTGAGGCTATGGCGGCAGCGGCGGCGGCTGCCGGCAGCGGCGGAGCGCCGAACTCAGCCGCTGCTGCGGGCGGTTGGCGGCTTCCCGGTAGGGTACTCGAGTTCGTCTTCTCCTACTTGGACCTCCGGGAGCTACGGAGCTGCGCGTTGGTGTGTAAGCTGTGGTACCGCGTTTTGCACGGCGACGAGAACAGCGAGGTGTGGCGCAGCCTGGCGGCTCGCAACCTCGCCGAGGAGGCGCTACGCAACGATATCCTCTGCAACGTGCCCACCTACAAGGGCAAGGTCAGGCGAGCCTGTAGGGCGACGCTTCAGCGCGCCCCGTTCGGTGTTCGTGCGCAGGCACACTGAAGGTGGGGAAAGGAGGGAGGGGGGGGGGAAACGAAGAGGCAGCTTACCAACCTGCTCTCTGTCGAGTCCGGTGCAGCTTCCCGGCTCCATTGCTAGCCTTTCCGATGCTGAGGATGGGGTCAGCCTCGGAGACACGCCTCGCGGTTGCCTCAGTTGCTTATGGGTGAGCTAAGCTCACGGGACTATTGGGAAGGCAGGAGAGGAGATTCCTTCACTTGCTCAGAGATACTCTGGTGGGTTGCTTTGTTCCACCTTGATAGCGGTCGCGGATTCTAGAGTTGCCATACTTTCACCCGCTTTCCTCTTTTGCTGGGCATTGCATCGCAGCGGTGGGGTACTATTCGTTATCCACCTGTTATGTAGATGTGGCCTAGATATCTTTTATATTAGACATTGTGGCGCTGCCTTAAGCTTAGGCAGCAAATTCCATCATGCCGAAGCAAAAGGAGTTTGTGGAAGAGCTGGAACTTTGAGCCCTTTCCCCTCTGTGCTCCCCCAGCTTTGTAAAAAAAATTGTCATTTTTAAACCCTTTGTAGGTTTTGCTCCTTATTTTCTTTCATAAGTCATGTGTCCGTTTATAACTTTACACGTGCCTTAAGACATATATTTTTTGTAGGTCGTATACCTGCAAAAAAGATTGCCTCGTTTTAACGATCTTATTATACAAATCGCTCTGGCAGTCTGTTTCTAAAGAACCGAGTAAGAATGTTGTAAATAATTAAAATAAATGTACTGTATTAAAGAATAAAAGGAACAGGAAAGGAGAGCCACTGTAAAATGATTCCTATTCTCTCTCTGCTTACTGTTTCTGAAAGGCTGAGTCAGGCTCCTGCTCCTCTTCATCCAGTTAGACTGAGGATGTGGAATTGTGACATGTACTGAATTTACTTTATTATTTTTTTACAGAGTGGTTGTGGAGTAAAACACATTTTAAGTTTTCCATACTTCACTGAGAAATAGTTGATGAGCATGTGTTCTGGTGCTGATGAATTTTTAATTCCTCTCCTCTCAGAGTGACACTGCAAACTTACAAGTGGCTCATTACAATGTGATATTTAAATTTTATTTCTAATTCAGTCTGCATTGATTAGACTATTTGTGCTAATGCTGACAGGGTGGATTTGATTTAAACCGAGTTGATTTAAATCAACTCGATTTAAATCATAATTTCTAAGGAGCAACTGTCATCCCTGTCCTGCAGCAGCTCCCCCTCTGACCCGCTGTTGATTCACCGACAGTCCCATTCACTTTAATGGGACGGCTGGTGATGCGGCAGTGACACAACAAGGTGCGGGACGTGGCGGGCAGCAGGTAAGTGGATGCCCGCTAACAGGCACTGCCATGATGGATCTGAAATGACAGGTGCTCTTTAAATGTAAGGACTCATTCTTGCTGGTAGTTAGAATCTTTAATATTATTATTTGCAAACAAAATGAAGGTTTCCTATTTAGAATAATAAGCTGTCAGGTTAGTAAAACAACGATATCAGAACCAATTTTAGGTTGATAGGTTAATCACATATACCGTGTTTCCCCAAAAATTAGACCTACCCCCAAAATAAGACCTACCCTGATTTTTGGGGGTGGGCCTAATATAAGCCCTATCCCAAAAATAAGCCCTAGTTAGAACCCTGCCCACTACGTTCCATCTCGCTGCTGCAATGGGGCAGGAGAATGACTGTCGTGCCGTTGCCGCCACAGTGAGGCAAGGCAGGTGGAGGAAGGGGTGGAGCTGCCCCATAAACCCTGCACCCGCTTATTTCAGGGGCCCTCAGCCAGGCCATTCCTTGCTCGGCTATCTTCCCTTTCACTCCCCTCCTGAGCCGGACTGCCATGCTACAGAGGATGGGCGGAATAGGCCTGGTCCCCCTCCGCTGTTTTAGAGCCGGGGGGAGTGATGGCGAAAGGTCCGCTGTTGCTGTTCGTTGCTGGAGGGGCTTTCTTCGCGCTTCGTCCAACAGATCACCTGCCTGGTGGTAGCTGCCACGTCCTACTCCATCAACTCTCCCGTGGCTTGTGCTGTGACCGGACAGTGCAAGCTTTCCCTGCTGCCTCCCTCTGCCAGCCCTCCGTCGCTGCCACTGGAGAGAACGGAGAACGGGGAGGGGAGTAGCTCTGCGCAGTGATACAGAGGAGAGAAGAGCATTTGCTTGCCGCCCTGCATCGTCCCGTGTCTCCCTTCTCCGTTCTGGAAATGGTAGCCCCATTTCCTGCTGCTTCTCCTCCCGGCCTGCTGTAGAATTTGGTGCACCACCACCCAGCTCCTCTGTTCCCAATAGCATTTCTTCACTAACCTGCTTTCCAGCTCTGGCCCGTTTCTTTCCTGCTGCAGGGAAACAGTTTGTGGGATTAAAAAAACTTCAGTCAGACCTTCCAACTTCTCACAAAAAAAAAGAAAAAGAAAAAAGATCTCGCAAGAAATTGAAAGGTCTGACTGAACTTTTTTTATTTTCGGGGAAAGATGATAGCTGGAGAACTACTCAAATTCTTTTATTTAATTAAAACACATAGAGCCTGATACAGATGCATTTTTCTTCAAACAATCATACAGTTTGTAGTGTACATAGATTTGCAAAACAATGGGATAAAAGAATATTCCTGAACTTTGTTTTATGATTTATCTCATGGTTACTGTGAAATTGTGTGAATGCATCAATTCATTGAATGAGTTTACTAAAAATGTAAATATTGCAGAATATACAACCTCATGCTACATAACTAAACTCTATTTCATGCTGAATAAACTAAATTATTAATGTATATTAAATAGAAAATTATATTTAGACAGATTTTTACTCCAAAAGTATTTTATTAAAATAAATTTGATAAAAATAAAAAAATCCAATTTTTAAAAAACCCATTTTTTATTTTTTTTAAAAAAATCATTGTTTATTATCCACCCTGAATGCTGCATATGTAGCAAATGCCAAATATAATATTTGTGCCAAGTAATAAATGTTTGAACAATTTACGCTTTTTTGTGGAGATGGTTTTTAGTTTCTTATCTTACATGTGCAGCTTGTGTTTCAGAATGTTTTCTCTATCTTGTCTTTAGGTGTTAAGTCTTGGCCTTGCAGTGATACAAAAATAAAATATTTATTCAAGAGTGAATATAAGCATTTGAATAATTAACAGTCTTATTTAAGTTTGAAAGACCTTCTCAACTTCCCTTTATTTTGTAAAACTTTTTTTTTAGGTACGTGCCTTTCAGCATGCTTTCAGCACTAATGATTGTTCCAGAAATGTCTATATTAAGAAGAATGGATTTACTTTGCACCGGAATCCCATTGCTCAGAGTACTGATGGAGCAAGGACCAAGATTGGCTTTAGTGAAGGCCGTCATGCCTGGGAAGTCTGGTGGGAAGGTCCTCTTGGTACAGTGGCAGTAATTGGAATTGCTACAAAAAGAGCTCCCATGCAGTGTCAAGGTTATGTAGCCCTCCTAGGGAGTGATGACCAGAGCTGGGGCTGGAATTTAGTGGACAATAATTTATTACATAATGGAGAAGTCAATGGCAGTTTTCCACAGTGCAACAATGCCCCAAAATATCAAGTAAGTGAAATCCGATGTTTTTTGAAAGGGCTACATCAGTGTTATGACAGATTACGTCTTCTGCAATTAACTTAAATTTCCCTATTCTGTCATGCTTAATTCCTTATTTTCTCATGCTCCATTCCCTTGCATGCTGAAGATCTGGTTTAGGGTATACCTTAACTTTGGAAAATATTTGGAGGTTCTATGTAGACATAGAAAGGGGCAAAAAGAATCCTGACAAGCTTTGTGGGTTGCAAATTAGAAGCCACCCAGAGTTGGTTAGTAGATAAAAATAAAAATAAATCATAATGATCCAAAAGTTTTGTTAAAATTTTAATGAGTGAAGCCTTTGGGAATTCTTAGGCAATGTTTTGAATGAATTTTGTTTAAGTAAAATTTTCTGTATATATATAGGCAATTCGGAAATAAGCCTCCATTTGAGCATGTGTGAGAAATAGGCGGGGATAGCGACACCTATCTTATGGCACCGTGTTCAGTAGTTCAGTAGGCAGTGAGGAGTGAAAGGAGAAGGTTGCGTTGCAATTGACTCGTCCGTTAGATCAGTTGAAAATGAACCCTGCCATAGAAAATCCCGCCAAATGTGAAGTGTGTGCAGTAATATGATTCCTGTGTGCAAAAAAACTTTCGGCACCTGTGATTCATCGCAAACTGTAATGTTTACGGACCAAACATGATGAGTGAAGGTGTCGTACGTCAGTGGTTTAAAGATGGACGAACTGAAGTGCACGAGGCAAGAAATGGCCGCCCATCTGTAGTCAGCGATGAACTCGTGTAGGAAATTGATAAAAAAGTCCATGAAGTTCGTCGCTTCACAATATCTGCACTTTCTTTACACTTTCTCCAAATTTCTCGGACTGTTTTGTACATGGTAGTGACAGAAAATACCACAAGTTCTGTGCTCGTTGGGTACCAAAACTCCTTTCTGAGGAGCATAAAACACACCAAAGGGGTTCTGCTTTGGACTTTCTCACACATTATGCCGAGGAAGGAGAATAATTTCTTAACAAAATTGTGACTGGCGATGAGATGTCATACGTGAACCCCCAAAGCAAACAGCAATCAATAGTGTGGTGTCATACCAAAGAAACCCCAAAAAGCTTAGCAAATATTCTCTGCCAGAAAGGTTATGGCAATAGTATTCTGGGATGCCAAAGGAGTATTGCTGGTGAAGTTCATGGAGCATGGATCGACCATCAATTCAGAAGTCTACTGTGAAAGGTTACAAAAACTCAAGACGAACCATCCATAACAAGCATCAGGGCATGCTGATTTCCGATGTGTTGGTTCACGATAATACTCACTCACATACCACTAGAAGTACCCAAGAACTTTTGAAGCAGTTCCATTGGGATGTTTTTGATCACCCTCCCACCCCCATCCCCTCGCCTAGATTTGGCACCGAGCAACTACCACTTCTGGCAGATGAAACAGTGGCTTGCGTCGCACCACTTCAACGATGACAATGCGCTTCATGATGCTGTTATAGGGTGGCTTCATTCCCAGGCAGGAGATTTTTTTTCAGAAGGAATTTCAAACCTTGCAAGACATTATGACAAGTGCCTCAATTTGAATGGCGATTATTTCGAAAAGTAATGTAATGTTGTAGTTTTCTAATGTATCTGTATCTGCGAGTGTCTGTCATTGATAACCAAACAGAAGCTTATTTCTGAATTGCCCTCGTGTATGTATGTATGTATGTGTATATATATATTTCAGTCACTCTTGTTCAGTGAAATTTATTCCCAAAATTTATCTGTAGATAAGCCAGTGTAATCATTTAGAGCGCCATCTACTACATAAAAATGGCTGTATCTTAATTTACTATTAACATTTACAATGTATTTTCAAAGTACCTACTTGTATTTATTTATGTTGTTTTTTTCTCTAGATATTTGCCATCTCTTTCAATCTTTCCTCTTTTTGTTTACAGATAGGTGAGAGAATTCGTGTTATCCTGGATATGGAAGACAAAACCTTGGCTTTTGAGAGAGGCTATGAGTTCTTAGGAGTTGCATTTCGAGGACTGCCAAAGACATGTCTGTATCCAGCAGTGTCTGCTGTATATGGCAACACTGAGGTGACGTTAGTTTATCTAGGAAAACCTTTAGATGGATGATAGTTTTGTGTTGGTTTTACTTTGTTTTTGTTTTTTTAGCAAGAACATGAAAATCAAGTTGACAATGTGGAGAAACCTGCATATTGGTTAACAGGACAGCATGAGGAAAATACATGGATGTGTGCTCAAGAAACCAAAACTTGTGATTAAAAAGACCAACTGTTCTTAACAGAGTACACTGACATTTCCTTTTTCTGCCGGACCAGAAAAATTCCTCAGGGGGGTTACAGTTAAACAGGCAGTTAACCACAAGCATGTTGCATCGGATTTTGTACCAAGAGTGGCAATATGGAGTCCTGTATATACGTAAGGAATTGTTTAATAGAAGTGATTGAGGAAGTTATCTAATATGTGAGAGTAACGTGTTCTGTGGAAAAGGTTTCCATTTTGAAAGCGATTTGTTCTTTTCCAACCTTTAATCCAGTATGTTTTACCAAAGGTAATAAACTTATTGGATTTTATTTAATATATTTTGGTTGTGCTGGGAAGCACTGATTCTGGAGATCAGTTTTCCAGAGCTATATTGTGCAGCTATACTGAAGTGTATTTTAAAAATTGTTTGTATAGAAACTAAAAATTGAATGAAAGAAAGGTTTGCTAACCAGTATGTAATTTCTTAAATGGAAAAACCACTACATGTCAAATGTCAATCTTTGTCTAGGAATTGGACAAAATATATACAAGTGCATTTCTGTTTTGTTGTGCCACATCTCTTTTGGCAAAAGGAGCAATGTATGCTTATTAAATAATGGTTGAGATTGATAAATAGAATAGTATATATGTGGAAGGGTAAAATTTATTTCTAATGTGTTTCGAAAAATTAGGTTTCCAAAGTATTTCCAAATAGCGGTCATTTCAAAATACTCAACTCCTTAAATTAAATCAACTGAAATTTAAGCAGGAATTCCATCCCTGATACACAAATTTCAGTATGGGTAGGTTTAATTTTGTTAAAATTTATTATAGAGGCTGAAAAGAATTTGTAAAAAGTTAATGAATTTTATGTGGTGGAAGTACTTGTGGATGATAGAATGATTGTCCTTTCTTCACAATAGATTTTCCCAGATTTTCCTAGATCTTTGCCATTCCCTGGTATCCATTGCCTGCACAATTTATCTTTTAACTTTGTAATTCCACAGGCCAGCTGTTGGTACTAAATGTTATTTTGTTTATAAATCTATTTATTTAAAGGTATTGATAAAACACTTTCGTTGCAATCCTGTGCATATTTCTTTCAAAAGCATATCACATGATATTCAAGAGTTTTTTTCCACATATGCATAGAATCGTGTCATTTGGGAGGAAATAAATATTGTTTACATTATTTTCTACATAATCTGAAATATGTGGTCTTGCAGACATCAGATAATTCCTTAAATATGTAAAAGAAAAACATTAAAGATATTTTTTTATTTTTGTTCAAGCCGGGAAAAGCTGATCAAGTTCTATGAGTGCTGCTAAATACAAGTTTTATATATATTTTTAAAAGGCTTCTAACCTATGGCTAGAAAGTATACTTATTCCACAAAAAGTTTGGAATGGTAGCATTTAAGTCAGCATCTGATCCCCAATACTTGGCAGTAGCTATAGACATGTTTGTCTTTTTTCAGTTCTATTGTTTTTCTTGGCTTAACCAACTTGCTATCTGTCCTTCACCTTGGCAAATAAAGCTCTGTGACAAAAGGAAGTAATATTTGGTTAATTGTTCTGGAATATGTCTCATTTTTATCAGCCCTTTTTTTAAATAAAGGCACAAGACAGCTATGGTGATAGCATTAGGCTAATTAAGAAGAGACTTCCCGTCCTCATAAGCTACTGACAATTTAGGAAAACTAGAAAAGGAAATTTTAAAAGGAGAAAGGAGAAAGACTTTATTAAGAGAATTCAGTGTTTGCATGTTCTGAACTATTTGGGTTTGGCTCCCTTCTGGATTTATCCATTCATGCTCAGATACCACTAAGTTGTGTTTGAAAGCGGCATGCGTGGATTAATGTTCTTAAAATGTTTGTTCTATATATGTAGTATGTCACTGAATAGAACAAGTTCATTCTTGGCATGTTTCTACAGCAAAGTCAGACCAAGGCTATGAAATGCCTTTTAACATGTGGTACTAAGAAGTCATGAATAAAGTGAGAATAATATGAGATTTCCAGAAACAGTTTATTTATACAGTGCTATAAAATGCATCACTACGGTAAGTAAAACTCTGGCATGGGCTGACATAAAAGTAAAACTTTCATTAAGTTAACAGTCTCAGTGCAGTCTTGGATAGATTTTTCTCTGTTCTTATATACAAAGAATAATCTATCCTGTATAAAAAACTGGTCCTAAGAATAGTAGTAATGGATTTTCTAAGGTTTCAGGAATGTGCAAAATTCACAAATTTGGTAATAGAACATTCTAAAGAATGCCAGAATGATCCATTCCCCTCCAGACTATATCCTTTTGGACGTGGTAAAGTTCTCTGGAACTTTCTATTCCAAATCTGAGTTTTGCACATTCTTAGAAGAAGAAACCTCTTCCCTGTTAATATAGGATGTCTTTCCTTCTTTCTGATACATGTTGCATAATACTTTTGCAAATTGTTCCCATCTGTCTCAAGGAATTATTAATCAACCTATGTATATAGAATTCTTATAACTTATTACCTGAAGACCAATTTCAAGCTGTACAAAATACTGAAATAAATTGCTAAAATATGAAAATATTACTTTTGTGTATTGTGTTTTTTAGTTGAGTACATGAATAGAGCAAGTCCATGATATTTGGTATATTATGTATTTATCTATTTGATTTTTATCCTGCCTTTATTACTTTATAAGTAACTCAAGGCAGTGAACATACTTAATAGCAATATTAATAGCAGACTTATATACCGCTTCACAGTGTTTTACAGCCCTCTTTAAGCGGTTTACAGAGTCAGCATATTACCCCCAACAATCTGGATCCTCATTTTACCGATCTCTGAAGGATGGAAAGCTGAGTTTACATTTGTTAAGTTCATCACTGTCGTGCAAAGTTTAGCTTAATATTGACCAATCAAAGCAAAGCTTCTTAGGATTAAATTCAAAACCATAATTATTCTAGTGCTGTTCCCCATCCCCCATTGCTCCCTGAAAGTTGCAAATATGAGGAATGCTGGAATGCCATTTAACTTTGAATGGTCACTAAACAAATGGTTGTAAGTCATGGACTATCTGCATCTGTTTTGCTTCAGAGACTAGTGAATATCAGCTAAACCAGGGGTGGTCAAACTGCTGGCCCACGGCCGGATGCGTCACGCAGAAGCTGTGCCCACCCCAGCTCCGACAAGGGGAAAAAAGTCACGATATGTCACGAAATGTCATGTGACACGGCGAGTTTGATACCCCTGAGCTAGACACTTGCTAAAGCTGCATAAGCAGATGCATTCATAAATTCTTAGTTATTACTGATACTGATTTCATATGTTGTCCTGTTCACTTATTCTTTTGATCTGTTTCATAAGACCCACAAAACTGGCTACTCTAAAGATTGTTCATGCATGATTTGATAAAGGTAATCTTTTCAGTTTGGAAACTACAACATCCTCCTTTGTGCCAACCCATAGGGCAGTGGTGGCGAACCTATGGCATGGGTGCCAGAGGCGGCACTCAGAGCCCTCTCTGTGGGCACACGCGCCGTCGCCCCAGTCCTAGACCTTCAGCTGGGTTTTATAAAACCTTTTCGCTTTAGGCCTCCGGCTGCCATGTGCAAAAAAAAAAGAGAAAGGTTCAATCAGTCAATTTCAACTTCTCCTGGGAAAAAAAAAGATCTTGCAAAGTTGGAATTGATTGATTGAACTTTTTACTCCCACCCAGTCTGCCGTTACCACTGCAGCCACGCCCACCCAATGGGCCACACCCACCCGGCACTCGATGATGCATAAGTGGGTTTTGGTTGCAGTTTGGGCACCTGGTCTCTAAAAGTTTCGCCATCACTGCCATAGGGGAATCGGTGTTGACACTGATATCAATAAAGTAGGTGGTATTGAAAATTTCAGACATTTTTTTTATGATGGTTTTGGGGGGTTGTATTTTAAAGAATTTTATGACAGTTTTAAGTCTCTGCATTGCTTAAGGGACTTATTTTGTCTGAAACTCATGCCCATTTTCTGGAGATACAGCCTGTGCTGGGAGGCACGGGTTGCCCATTCTGATATCAAATAATATTGTTTCATTAGTGAAAATAAATGACAGTAAATGTAATTCACTTGGGAACTGTTCTGTTTTCAGAACACCTGCAAATATTCCAAATATAATAAAACATGTATTTAATGTTACAAAGGTAACATTCTTCGGTTGATGGTACAAGTTAGAAAAATACTTTAAAAAGTAGGTGCAGAATTCTAGTTGGCAGAGGCTTTTCAGTTAGTGGTGGACGTATCAGCTTACTGGAATGTCTGCTTACTCTCTATGCTAAGCTTGTTTGAAAATAAATTTAGCAATGATCTTTCAAAGAAAACTGAATAGGCTATTTCTGAAGCTTTGGAATCAGAAAGTAACAATACAAAGATAGAAACTAGCTATTGAACAAGATTTTATTAAAATTGTGATTGTATGCTGCTAGGAGAATAATTGTTTATAACATCTCTTTACACTCAAATTACTTTTTTTCTGATCTGAATACTGTGAAGAAGTCCTCTTAAATTTCTAACAGCAGGGGACAGCAGTATATCACACTAAAGCCAGCATAAGTCACAAATATAGAACTATTTTGTAGGTACAGTAAGCAAATGCTTTCAGATATATGGGAAGTGGCATCTTTTAGCAATTTTTAATGGAGAAATGGTGAAAACTAAGCTTATGCCAAATGTACTTGATTATTATCAATTTTGAAATATAATTGCTAAGGTTCTGCACTCTTCCAAAATGATTCAGAAGTGCTTCAGACCACTTTTTTGGTAGTATATATGTAGCTCAGGATTAAACTATGGAATCCTTGATGCTCTCTGAACTTGGTTGCTTGCTTTCAGACATTTCATTATCCAACTAGATAA